CCCTCGGGCCGGCCACGCCACCCGGGACAGATTTCCTGTAGAATCGCAGGGATGCGCTTCGGTTTTTAAATTTAAATTCATGTTTTAACGGACACCTCCTCTTAGTCATTTTCTTGTTGCTGGGACAAAACACTGCGCTCCGCAACCCGGAGGAGGAGAGCTTGGTTTCCGCTCGAGGTTTCAGCCCGAGGTCTGGCGGAGGGCAGCTGCTCACTCATGGCGCTCAGGAAGCAGAGGGAGGCCTGGGACCAAGTGCGCACCCCGGTGACCTCCTCCAGCCCCTGGGGATCCCCCTTCCTCGCTGTCAGTGGACTAATCCCTAAGGCACATGAAGTGTGGGTTCTCACACGCGGCACACCCTACAGCGTTTCAATCGGCCAGACACCTCTCCCTGCCTCGTCCACAGCGCCCAGACCGCTGTGACTCCGCCCCCCGGCCCCCTGCGGGTCCCCACCACCCGCGCTCCTTTCTCTGTGGTCCACTGTAAACTCCATTTAATTTCACAACTTATCCAGCGCTGTCTGGGTCCTTGGGTCAGGCTTGCGCCACTGTGAGTCCCTTTCGACAACTCTTGGGGCCTGGCCACTGGGTCCAGGACTCAGGTCCCCAGTACCAAGTGGCCCAGGGTTCAAGCATCTATGTACATCGTCCTGTAAACTTTAGAAGCTGTCATACTAGGGCAATCGAACGCCGGGGAAATGGTTGCTTTACTTTATTTTGGTCTGATAAGGGTTTGTTATGAACTTTTCTGGGCTCATTTTTTATTAGTCCACGCTTGTAGCACCTGATGACCACACACCTTGAGGAGAGGGGAGGGTGTGTGGGCACAACACGTCTTCATTATTAGTAGTTTTTCCTTGGTACTGCGAATTGAACTCAGGACCTTGCACTTGGCAGGCAGGCGCGGTGCCACTGAGCTAAATCCCCAGCCCATGTCTTCATTATTTTTTGCCCTCTCCTCTCCTCTCTCTCTGCTCCCTCCTTCTCTTGGTCCCAGCCCATTTGTAAAAGCTTTATTTCCATTTTTTTTCTGTTCTTTTTTTTAATTTAAATTGAACTTATTGGTACATTCTAGGTAGACAGTACAGTTGGTACATTCATTACCGGGATCTTGTACTCAGTTCTTTTTTTTTTTAAATCCCCTTCCCCTCTCCTTCTGCTTCTCTTCCCATTTGAAAAAGATTTCCCTATGTATTATCTACCTTTAATTTTGCTCTTATTTATATTCTGAGTTTCTCATATAAGAGAAACCATGCATATTTAAGATCCTGTGTCTAATTTATTTCATCTAACATCATGGTCTCAAGGTGCATCCATTTTCCTACAGATGACTCAAGTCTATCCGTCTTTATGGCAGCATAGTACTCCACTGTGTATAAATAGCACATTTTCTTTACCCACTCATCTGCGGATGGGCACAGAGGCCATTTCTAAGACTTAGCTATTATAAATTACGTTGCTATAAACATAAAATGGACCACAGTAACTTGACTCTTTCAGGAAGAAACCTAGAAGGGGTATAAAACAGAAACACTTAATCTGCTTGACGATAAAATAGGCACAGCTATCATGTTCAGGGAATAACAAGGAAAATGTTTTCACATGTTAAGTAGACACAGCTCTTTTCACATGCTCTGGTCTGTGGTTGTTAGCTCGAGTGTACACGGCGTGTGGGCAGAGACACCCCGCTGGCCCTGTGCACTGTGCACCTGTCCCTGACATTTCCTTTCTGTTGGTGCCATGGTTGTTTTGAGACAGGGTCTCGCTACGTAGCCCAGGCTGGCCTCGAACTTGTGACGATTCTCCTGCCTCAGCCTCTGGAGTGCTGGGATCACAGATGTGTGCCACACCTGGTATGCTGTGGCTTTTCCTTAGCAGTGTAACAGGCAGATGTAACTTGTGTGTGCATGGAAATCGGCTCCGTGCCTGAATCTGCGGAGGGTTTCACAGTGCAGACCTTGTAGGTTCGTAGTCGACACCCAAGTGGTCTCATTTCCACCACATGCGTGGCTGCACAGCGGCGTGCAATGGAACTTCTGAGTTGCAGGGTGCACGCTGCCATTTCCACAGCGCGCCCAGGTAACACGTGGATTGACACTCCACGCTTAGGGCATCATCAGAGATCCTGGCTGCTGTCGGGGGAAAGTTCTTACCTCATCCTAATTTACCATCCACTCTTTCAAGAAAGGCCTTTGTCATGTGGCTGTTTGTGTTCTGTCCATTGAAGAGGAACTCTCAGCCCAATTCGTTCCGTTTTTTGAGACAGGGTCTCGCCATGGAGCCCAGCTGGGCTCAAACGCTCAGTGATCCCCCTGCCTCAGCTTCCCAGGGCTGGGATTACAAGTGTGTGCTACCATGCCTGACAAGCCCAGTGTTTTTGACTGGGTCATTCCTCCTTTGTTTAGTAGGTTTATAGCATTAGTATTAATATGAGTCATTCTTTTTGGTTCTGAGTTTGTTTTGAATGTAAAAAATATTTTGGGAGCTACTTCTGTATTAGTTAAGTTTTCTTTTTTTTCTTTTTGGAACCTGGGATCAAACTCAGGCCTTTGCGCTTGTGAGGCAGGAGGCAGAACCACTGAGCCAAATCCCCGGCCCCCGTATTAGTGAAGTTTTAAACAACATCAGTCTTTGGGTTATGATTTTTGCTTTTAAATAAATTCTTCCTTACTGCAAAGTCATAAGCACAGGGTTTTATTTCACGCTGATAGATTCACAGTGTAGCTTGGTTTTGATGTCATACGGGACGTTGTAATAAAGTAATTCCAGTACCTGCAGCCTGGCAGCAGGGTGGCCCGTTGCTATTACCCTGGGAATCCTGAACGTTCTCCTGTCTTCCTGCATCCTCCTTCCAGTTCAGCCTGTGTGTGCCACATAAACTCTGTGAAACTTCTCCATTTTGATGTCCTGTGTTTAACTTAAGATCCACCTTCAATTCTGGTCAGAAAAGACAAGTACTGTGCTCACTTCGGCAGCACATATGCTAAAATTGGGACGATACAGAGATTAGCGTGGTCCCTGCCAAGGATGACACGCAAATTTGTGAAGCATTCCATATTTTAAACAAACAAATGAACAAAACAAAAAAAGAAAAGACAAGTATTCACTTAGCGAACTCCAGCCAGCGTGTGCAGATGAGGGTAGGAGCCCAAGGTGGGCGGGAGAGGAGGGGTGGCCCACGTCCCAGCTTCCGACGCGGCCGCTGTGCTCCACTCGAGCGGCATCAGCTGAACCCCTAGCTCTCCGTCCTCTCGGGGCTGTGTCTGGGTCCTGTGGTCCCAGGGGGTCCCTTGGGGCTCGTGCCTGGTGCCCACGGTGGGTGCCCAGGATGCAGCCCTCTCGCCACCGTGGTGCCCACCACCTGCCACATTCCCCTCCCACCCCAGCCCGTCGGGTTCATGGTGCCGATCAGCTTCACACACAGGCGACCTTCGCAGCACCAAACTCAGCTGGCGGCAGAGCCAGCACCTCGGTCCCCACTCCCCCGCCAGGTGGTTGGGCCCAGGACAGACCCCGCTTCCCCTTGATGAGTGTGGGTCTCCAGCACCTGCTTCCCCACAGAGGGATGCTGCAGTGGAGGTGACCCCAGTGTGGAGAGTCGCAGAGAAGGTGCATGAGAAGGGAGGAAGAGGGTGGTCATCCAGGGGAGGCTGGGCATGGACAGGAAGTGCTCCAGGCAGGGCCAGCAGCACACGCAAAGGCCCTGAGGTGGGTCAGGGTCAGGATGTTCAAGAACTTCAGACAGCAGAAATGAGGGGCTTGGGTGGACAGAAAGGGTTCGTGGGGACTTAATCTTGAAATTTCAAATCAAAAGCTGTTAGGCAAATCAGTAAGTTTTCAGTTTTATATTTAAACAAAGATTGGTGCATTCTGGGATAAGATGTTCTGGCCTGGAATGAGAGGCTCTAAATTAAAAAAAGGATCCCATAATGATGCATGCTAAAGCATGACAGACTCCAACACGTCGCGCACTTATTTACACTCTGCTCGGATCCAGTGTGCTCACGGCCTGCGGCTGCTGGGGCCCTTGAGTCCCCAAAGTCTGGGATGAAGGGTGGGGGGGCAGGAGGGTATGGGTGGGGCAGACGAGCACAAACCCAGGCCCAGCACCGGGTGCGCTGCCCAGGTCAGGCACCAGGGGGCGCTGCGGGAGGCGGAGGAGCCTGGGGACAGGGACAGCACCCTAGGGGACATGGGACCTGGACCCCCCAGAGCTTCCTCTCCCCTACCAGCTTGAGCGGCAGGCAGTGGGGTGACAGCAGCCTCCGGCACTAGGGCCCAGAAAGCTGAGGGACAGAGGAGGGGGAGGCTCGGAGCAGATGTGAGGATGTGTTGCCTGTGACTCAGCGCTCTGGGAGGCTGAGGCAGGAGGGTGCAAGGTTGAGGCCTGCTTGACCCTGCCCTAAAACAGAAAATTAAAAAAGGGCCGAAGATGTAGCTTAGTGCAGGCCCTGGTTCAGTTTCCACTTCTGGAGGTGGGTGGGAGCGGGACAGAGCGGGCTGGAGGACAAACTGGGTCTGGATAATGGATCAGCCCTGAACATCCCTTTGCAGAGAGCCAGGCGGCTTGTTATATAATTTTTTCCTGAAGCACCAGGGCTAAGAACCGAGGCAGTGATCCCGGTGGGTATATTGTTACATAAAACACTTTAATCAAGCAGCACCCAAAATAGAATAAAAAATAGTGTGAAATACAAGTCGTCCTGTGAGAAGCAGGATTTGAAATCCTGCCTACGTCGACTCCTTCAAGAGAAACGCCCTGAAAACCGCGCTGTTGAAGGGACCCCATGTGCAAATCAGCCCAAGGGAGTCAGGTGCACTCTGCCACATGCAGAGGTCACAGAAATCATGTTAACTATAGGCTGCTCTGTCGCGGCTTATGGCTAAGACTGTTTGTAAAAGTTGTCGAGGATTTTTGTGACAGAGATAACATGATAAACCCCCGAACCTCTAACACCGCCCTGACGGTACAACATACTAAGAAACTCTGCCAGGTGTGGTGGCACACGCTTGTAATCTCAGCACTAGGGAGGCTGAGGCAGAAGGATTCTGCAAGTTTGAGCCCAGCCTGAGCTACCCAGTAGGACCTAAGCCTCAGAAACAACAGCAACAGAAATCGTGCATCAGTAACCACGTCCTCACCCAATCACTTAGGGATGTGCTTCAGACAACAGCCGGCTTCATTCACTGCCTCGAATACTGTTTATATTATCACAGCACGTGAGCCTTTAATTACAGCTCTGGTAATGTAGAAATTTAATTTTCCAATAAACACCAGGCGGGCAAGCCTGGGATCCAGCGAAGCCTCTGTGCTTCTAGCTGGGGCCATGGCTGCCCCGAAGCTGCGGGGCGATGAGGGGACTGAGCCCACCCTGGAGCTCAGGGTCCCCGATCCTGATCTCCAACTCCCCACTCCGAGAGGCCCAGCCGGCTCAGGCTCACGGTGCAGCCCTGTCCAGCCCACCCGCCCGATTCGGCCTTCGGGATCCCTCAGCGCCTCCAGCGGGCTTGGACTCGAGGCTGGGGCTCGCCCGGGAAGGTGAGGCAGCAGCTCACAGGGCCTCGGGCTCAGGACAGTGGCGGCG